TTAATGTTTGTTTTGTTTTGCCACCAAAAAGAAAAAGGTTTTGTTGGGGGTGTGTGTCCCCCCGTGTGGGTTTTGGTTTTTTTTTTCCCTTTCAAAAATTTTTTTTTTTTTGGGCCCTTCCTTTTTATTTTTTCCCCCCCCCCCCCCCCCCCTGCGCTACAGAAGTGCTATGAAGTTTTCCTATAAACCCTCAGCTTTTTCCCAAAGCGTGCAGAAAAATGCATTGATGAACGTACAGCTCCTTAGAAAATGTGTCCAACATGTCAAATAGCTTAACAAAATTTCTGCTTTTCTGCTACTAGCCATATGGGCACTTTTAATTGTCAGCTCATGGTGTCAGCTAGAACTAATATGGTGGTTACCATGTTTTTTTTCCCACAGTTCAGCATGAGTGCATTCCTCAGGCTATCCTGGGCATGGATATCATTTGTCAAGCTAAGAGCGGCATGGGAAAGACTGCAGTGTTTGTTCTGGCAACACTACAGCAGTTAGAGCAGGTTGATGGTCAAGTCAGTGTGCTGGTTATGTGCCACACACGAGAGTTGGCCTTTCAGATCTCTAAAGAGTATGAAAGATTTTCTAAATACATGAATAACATCAAAGTTTCAGTGTTCTTTGGTGGCATCAGCATCAAGAAGGACCAGCAGACCCTCAAGACCAACTGCCCACACATTGTCGTTGGCACACCTGGCAGAATACTGGCTCTGACACGCGAGAAAACACTTAATCTCAAGCATATCAAGCACTTCATCCTTGATGAATGTGACAAGATGTTGGAACAGCTTGGTAAGAAGTGTTCACATTAGTTTTTTCTCTTGTGTACAGAAGGGGTGTAGCATGATTCCTCAAAAAATGTGTGCCTCGGAAATTTTTGGCCTGATCTCAAAATCTCGGTTCAAGCGTTTGTGATAGATTTTGAAGTCACATTTTTAGGTGATTTTGTGTCTTGGAGTCTCAAATATTTTTAAGAAATTTACCTTTCTATACCTCTTACAGACTAGTGGTGGTATTGAACACCATGCTCATTGTCTTCAACCTCAGACCAGAAGCTCTGACATTGTTGTTGAGTCATTTCCTGATGCACAAACATTTAATTTATATTTACTTAGCCCACCCATTATAAATGACTGTGAATTAGTACATAATGTTAGAAGAAACCTGAAGGTGTATGAAATTCCATTTTGGTGTAGTAGCTTATGCTCCTAGATCCATTCTGCTACAGCGACTGGGTTTTACCATTCGTCCCTTACCTGGTGATCAAGCTTCATATTGCCTCTCACTGCTCATAGCAGAGCAGGGCAGAATTTTTTTCAAAGAAATGATTTATTTTTTTCTTCACTTTTTATTTCCATTATTGTTGCCTTACAATAATCTGGCACATATGTTTCTTCTTTACCTTGCAGAATTCTGACCATTACTTTCCTTTTGTATGTAGTCCTGATTTACTGTCATTTTTCGTATTATTCACTCATACACTTAATCATGTTTATTCCAGATATGCGACGAGATGTCCAAGAAGTTTTCCGCATGACACCGCATGAGAAGCAAGTTATGATGTTCAGTGCCACCCTTGCCAAAGAGATCCGTCCTGTCTGCAAGAAGTTTATGCAAGATGTAATTATACCTCCTAAGTTCCATTGTCAAGTCTGTTGTTGAGCATTCATCATCCTTGTGAAGGAGATGATGACAAAGCATGCTGCTTCCTAAGCCTACAGGCATGCTTGGCACTTCCTTGTAGAAGGTTCCCATTTGGATGCTAGTTAGCTTGCTTTTGTGCATGTTTTAAGCTTTGGTGGTCCAACAAAATGATGGAAAAATTGTCAAGTTACAAGTCCTAAGAAAGGCATCTTCTTTTCATTTAGTTTGGAAAGCTATGAGGGGTAGTGCTGATAGGTTTTCAGTTGATGAGGTGGTTATTTTGTGGCTGAATAGTTGCTGGTTTGGAAAGTATCAGTTGGTGTGTCTGTGTTATTGTTGGGTGTATGCTTGATTGGTGTGTCTGTGTTTTTGTTGGGTGTACTTGATGTCGTGGGCTACAGTTGTTGTTGTGTTGGATGGTAGTAATGTGCTTTGGTGATGTTATTGGAATGACAAATCTTAGCTTACCCTTCTGCTTGGAAGTGCCATGCCTGCCATGTTCATCACTCGACCTTGATGCCTTGAAGAGCTGTTCGTGGTCAGATCGTGAGATGTCTTGATCATGATGGTTCAGCGAGCTAACTCAAGCAGGGAGGAGCTCATGACACCAAGTCAGATGATGTCAGTTGGTTTCATCTCCGGGAACCTACCCTAGCCAGCCCTGACTCTGAGGACAATGTGACCTTTTCTCCATGTGAATTGCTTTCAGCTCCAAAGTGGCACTAAAACCAGATTACACAAAAATGTCATTTTTTCCTTTGCTGTTTGATTTCATTACAATAGCAACTCTTAGGCTATTGAACGTATTTTGTACTGATGCTATCCTGCACAGAAAGAGTTTCTGCAACAGAACAAAATTCTAGTTGCAGGGAGTACTGAATTTGTGACACTTAACCTTTTACTTAACTTGGAGCTGAAAGTGTTTTTGTTTGAGTTCATGCTAATTTGATGAATGTAAAAAAAACCTCTTTATTACTAAGATCTGTTTTTAGTGATCAAATTATATTTTATGCCTGTGTAGCTTGGAGTGTATTTTTTTTTTGCATTGGCAAAGGAAATGTAACAGTTCTGCCAAAGTGAGCTTCAAACAACAATGTAGTGGAAGTTTACTCTAACTAACTCATGTAATTGTCCTTCATGTTACGATTTTTTGTCATTGCTTGAAAAGTACAGTCAGGCACACGGGTTTGCAATGCTCTTGTGTTGTTTTTTACCCTGTATTATGGTAAGGATTGTTATTCTCATCTCTCTTCTCACAAATAGCCCATGGAAGTTTATGTTGATGATGAAACAAAGCTCACATTGCATGGCCTTCAACAGTACTATGTTAAACTCAAAGACCAGGAGAAGAATAGAAAGCTTTTTGACCTTTTAGACGTGTTAGAGTTTAATCAGGTATTGACATAATTGTGTTTAACCACACATCCTGGGGACAGAGAATGGCAGTTTTTTATATCGTGCAGTGATAGGTGATATCGTACAGGATATGCAGGGCAAATGATTTCACAATGTAAGGAACAATTTGGTATAAACGATGACTTATACTTTTTCTTTTGCTTAGATGCAAGGATGCATGGTAGTAACAATGTATCACCCTAAAAATTAAAAATGCCCCTGTTATATCTGAAAGAATGTATGACAGTTGCATTTTTGGGGAGACACCTTTAGGGGGACAATTTCTGAACTATGAACCTTTGAATTTCTGAATCTCTACTAACTGGTTACTATGTCAAGGTGTACCAGTAACAGATACAAGGCATCCACTGGTCTTTTACTTCCTTTTCTTTTTGGATAAGAAGAGGTAGAAACATGTTAAGGTCAACTTGTGGTGCTATAAAAAAAATGCTTTTTCACTTTCTTTATTTTGTTGAGTAACTCTTAGTTTTGTCAAACCTGTAGTAAGTGGTCAGTTGAACACTCAGATGTGTCTGGTAAATTTCTGTAGCGATGTGTTGGAAAGACAGGCACTAACTCTGCCTGTTTTTAAAGAGAATGTTTGTTGTTTAGTGAAATTGGTGTTAATAATGCCTTTTTTACAGGTGATAATCTTTGTCAAAACAGTTTATCGCTGTGTGGCTTTGGCAGGGCTACTGGTTGAACAGAACTTCCCAGCCATTTGTATCCACAGAGATATGAAGCAGGAAGAAAGGTTTGTCACACTTGACTGTTGTAAAAAAATTGTCACTCATTTCCAGACATTTCACAAAGAAAATCGGTTGCTAGATGCCCTCTTCTTGGTACTTTTTTTTATAAGAACCTTCTAACCAATTTTTTATTCATGCCCTGGTTATTTTCTTTTGTTGTCAGGCTGTCTCGTTACAAGGAGTTTAAAGATTTCTCCAAGAGAATGCTGGTTGCCACCAACCTGTTTGGCCGTGGAATGGACATAGAGAGAGTGAATATTGTCTTCAACTACGACATGCCTGAAGACTCTGATACCTATCTTCACAGGGTAAATAAATCTAACAGGAATTATTTTCCAAAAAACATTAGACTAGAATACTTTTGCAGTCAAAAGTTTGATTATTGAGATATCAATGTCATTGGTAACAAATAGTGTTTTATTTAGTACATCTTTTAATAATAGACGCCAAAAGTGAACTGACAGCATTTTGGTTTTGGTTTCATTTATGTGATCGGTTGGTTTCCCGCATCATTTTGGTTTTGGTTTGGTTAAGGAGTTAATGAAAGCTGTCAGTTCACTTTTGGCCTCTATTGCACATAACTTATCAAACATTGAAATATCATTTGTGCATGAGTAATGATGTTAGCACTGTAGAAGTGATCTGTGCTGTGGAACAGTTGATGGGTGGCAGTAATTATTAACTCAACAGAACATTGTGCCCTAAAGTTACAGCATTTACAGTGCAGAAGAGTCTTTATTCCTTTGCTGCTAAAGTTTTTGCTTATACTTTTTCACTTATTTCTTAATGTCAGGTTGCAAGAGCAGGACGTTTTGGTACCAAAGGTCTTGCCATTACATTTGTATCAGATGAAAAAGATGCCAAGATATTGAATGAAGTTCAAGATCGATTTGAAGTGAATGTAGGAGAACTCCCAGAGGAAATTGACCTTTCAACATACAGTAAGTTAATTTTTGTTGTAGACCTACTGTGATTCCTGCAAAAGTGACATTTGGTCTGAATCTTGTTGGTTTAAGGTGTTGCTTGTTTTTTGTAGTTCTTGGTTAAGCTTTTCATGGGTACTACCAACAAAGTGCCCTTATTTTATTCTCTATAGTAGAAAGAAGGAGGAGGCAGCGTGGCTGAGTGGTCAGTTTGTTGGATTCATAATCCGGCAGTCCCGGGTTTGATTCCTGCTCTGGTCACTTGCACTTGCTGGAGATGTTCTCTGTCTTTCCGAGTTCAAATCGAGGGCCATGTTTGTATAGGGCAAAGTGCTGCAGCCTCCCACCAGTTGGGGTTTTAAATCCTGTTATCCCTTTAAGTCCCAACAGTGTCCAACAGCAATTTTCTCCTAACAATATTCATACATTATCATGAGATTAGGTTATGAGAATTAATAAAATGATCACCCAAGAGAAAATACTTTGATCTTTTATCAAATTCTCTTAACTAATTCTTAAAGGAAATTTATGGTGATCAGTTTGGAGAATTTGTATGTGGATATTGGGGCTTAAAGGGTTATCTTCTATGTGCATCATTATTTTGTTTCACAATTATTTGAGTGGAGTGCCTGTAAACTAGCTGGATAAGCGAAATGCACTTTCCACTATAAACAAACCTTTAACCTTCAACCTTTTAACAGTAAGGTTATGTACTCATAGAGCATTATTTCTTCGACAAAAAACTCTGCAAATAGCAACTGAAGTATCCTCTTTCTAAATAGAACTTTCAGTCACATTTTAGTGACTCTTGCCTGTCAAATACTGGTGATGATGATTAAGAGTGTTGTTCTATTTTGAAGATTGAGTAGACTAATTTTAATTTCATTTTTTTTGTAACAGTTGAACAAGGACGCTGATCGTGCTGTGCATCATCAATTTATTTGCCGTTTTGTTCAACGAAGCAGAAGCAAATGCAGACTTGAGAGGAATTCTGCTACTCTGTAGAACAGATGTTAATACCAAAAAAAGAGAGTCAAGACACCATTCTCAGCTAGAGACATTTTAAACTTGTTCTATATTACAGCCATTTTCTTTTCTTTATCTTCTTAAATATGTTGATTACTGTGTATTTTTACTGATTCTGTGGAATAAAATGAAGTTGTCTTAAATGTTTGACGTTGGTCAAACTAAAGGGAAAAAAAACAGTACACCCACGCACAATTTTATTAATCTTTTTTAGTGTAATCTCCCCTAATTCTAATTATCCTGTACCTCTGGCCCTCAAAGCTAAGGATAATGATTAGTCATCTGGAATTGGTCTTTTTCTAAAAGTAGTTAGATCCCACGATTGGCCCTTTGTGGGTAAGAAATCCACCAGAAAGAAAGTGAACTAAAACTGATACATTTAACACATGGAAAGCACACATTCCTATGCACATTACCATGCGAAGTGATAAACCTCGTTTGTAGGGTTCTTTTCTATTGGTTGACAAGTTGGAGAGAACCCTGGAAACTAGGTTGGGGAGGTGATAAGGTTGCATGGGATGCTGGGAAGGAATCAAGGTTTCACGGCACCCTTGTAACATTATTTTGTTCCTGTATTGAGTAGGAATGAGTCTTGAAGAAGTAAAAGCCCAATAGGTTAAATTGATTGATTCATGTGATTTCTACACTAGAAAGATGGTAACATGTTGAGAAACAAATTGTTTAGATACAGTGGAACCGCTCCATTTGGACATCTATATTCACAGGACACCTACATTCAGGGGACTCAAAATTGGTCCCACAAAAATGTGCACATAATGTTTTTATCTGTTATTTTTATTGCTCGGGAAAGGACACTTTCTGTGTACCGAAACCTGGGTTTAACCTCTACCTAAGGGATACCTTAGCAGTCAAAAAGTGACTGACCACAAAGAGCGTTGGTATGTTGAAGTGTACACCAGTCACAATGACGACAACTTTCACAACATGAACTATCCCCAAATCAGCAGCTTCAAGTTAATTTTGTCTATAACGGTTGTTTTGGACTGTGTTTAGCTGCACGTTTTCTATTTTGAGAAATTCTCAACTTGAATCTGAAACGTCATTCTAAATGTCTTTGTTGACGGCTGCAGATTCCGAGGTAGAATAAATGAAAGATGTTATCAACAGACCCCAGCCCAACCCCCATTCAGGGGACACTTGCCTTGGTCCCGAAAGTGTCCCTTTAATAGAGGTTTTGCGTATCGTCGACCTTCTGACTGACATTTCATTGACTTGCTTATTGTATTATTTCTCCAGTTATGGTCGTACTGTTACCCTTAGTAGCTTGAAGAACAATTTGAAAGAAAGTAAATAATGATTATATGAAAATCATATATTAGAACTGTGGTAGTGTCGAGTAGTTGTAGGTCTTGTAGACGCAACTTTGTAGTCGCAAATGGAGAGCCTGTAAAGAATTCAGGCTTATACGGGATTTGAACCCTTGACCTCTGGGATGCTGGTGTAGTGCTCTACCATTTGAGTTGACGAGCGAACTGAAATCTTGTCATTTGAAAGGTAGGGTACTTTTCTGCTTCGTTTCAGGCTTTCTTTTGCGACTGCATCTACAACTGCGATGATCATTTTTACCTTTAAAGAAGATTCTGTAAGGCAAATTACGTTAGAGATGTCCTGTAGCATTAAAAAAAGTCTTGGAAAGCGAAGTGGGGTTTGGAAAAAGTTATTGAGTAACTCGAAAATTTCACAAAATCCGGATCTCCGAGGAAACCTATCGTGGGTTTTCGTGGGTTCCACCCTTCCCGGTCCCTTCCCGCGTTAACTTCCCGCGTGTTTTCCTCGCCTATCTAGTGCCAGTCTCCCTTTTCGTTCACGCGCGGTTTGCGTAATGGCAATACATGTGCACATGAAGTTGTTTTCATGCTGAAGATTTGGAAAATCACCGTTTCTCGTCGTTTTTCCTCGGCGATTCATAGAACGGCGGAAATCATGCAACAAAGAAGTTACGAGGCAAGTTAAAATGAAATGTTTTGGAGGTTTATCGAGTCTGTCTCGGTGTACATCGTTCTCGAAAGCAGCTGGGCGAAGCATGCCTGCTTGCCAGGCAGTTTATGAGATTCCTTTGTATTAGAATGCTTAAACTGCTTTCGGTCTTGTTCTTAATACTACTGTATCTACATTTTTTGTTTCAGGATGCAGTAAAGGCACTGAACACCCTTCAAACTAATGCACAAGATCTGGAGCAAATTCGACGTAGTCGAGGCCGACTTGCTCGCGACAACTTGCCTCAGATGAGAAGTTTTACAGAACGAGCGGGAGTTAAAGTCAGCCCTTTTTATAACTGTTGTTTAGTTGGTTTAATTGAAGTAGCGTAATTTTTTGTGTTGTTTCATGGAAAATCGGCTTGATACTACTTTTTTTTCATCCACGTGATGTTATTTTACGTGCCTCAGGAGCGTAACGCACATGCAGGGGACTTTGATGCAGGCTTTCTGATCCCCCCAAAAATAATTTATAATAATTAATTATTCATTACTGCACTGATCTGATCTGTCAGGGATATAAGAGTGTTGATTTTGAAAAATTTTACGAAACTGATGAGATTTCTTAGTTCAGGCGTGAGGATACGACATGACTGAACATGCTTTGACAAACCTTTTTTTTTGGTAATATTTTGTAGCGTAAAACTACATGTACTACTCATGCAGGGAGCAACCTCAAATCATACTATTCCTCATACACCAAAAGCTGACATAAGCAGTGTTTGATGCAGATAATCAAGAAAATGTATGCATGAATTTGGCAACTATAACGGTTATAATTTCCAGTAATTATCCTCAAATGATTGCTGTAAAACCACAGGTAGCCCAAGCTCAAAATATAAATGAGCATTGGCATTAATTCTTTCGAAATGTAATGATTTGTATAGGAAATAAGGGATTGTTGCTGTAATGTATCAATCAAATGGAATCTTCAGCATCCCCTCAACAGACATACACCAGGCATTTGACTTCTTTTCTTTGCCATCCTGAATTTTTTGCATTCTGATTGGTGGAGGATTGCATCATATTTCGCTTTAATCACCTAGCTCCATTGTAGTTGTATTTGCAGTCGTCGCTTCTCTCCAGTTGGGTGGAGAGAATATAAAAGTGACAACTGTAGCCTGTGTAGCATGGTGGTTTTGTTGAGCCGGGTGCATGAGTGGCGAAGCCACGAAATTCATGTGCGAAGCGCGCAAGAACAAGCGGCAAAGCCACAAGGTTGCTCCCGCCCCAATCTCCTCATGGTTTCTCTTCCCTCGCCCACCTTTATTGCTTAGCGTGCCCAACCAAACCCACCATGCTACGCAGGCTGTGACAACTGGAAATAAGTCTGTGTGTCGCTGAATAATCCCCTTGACTTTGGCTATGTTCACTCTATACCATATAGCTTTTGTGTTGGCACAAAAACTCTACCAGATATGGCTTCTGTTCCTACATAACAATAGTGATTTCAGGATGATTTCTGTAGCAGAGCAAAGGTGCTCCTCTTATACCAGATAAGGTTTTCATGTTGGCATGCATGAAAAGCTATCCGACCATTATAGTGTGAACATATCCTTCGTCTGATAATTCAGCAATGTTACCCTTATCAAAGACAAATAATTGTTAAAAAGTTTGAAAGTTGCACAACAGTGCTAGCACTTATATTTTAAGCTTGGGTGATCTGTGTATATCGTACACAAAAATCTGAAAACTTTCCCAATATAAGCATCGCACATAATCTCTTTTAGCTGTCTCTTTTGTGTACTTGTTGAATTAATTGATGGAAGGACAGGCAATTTGAATGATGAATAGACTGACTAATTAACTGCTATTTTGTTTTACAGATGGAAGATCTGGACAGACTTTCCATCATCCACATTAGTGGTACAAAGGGAAAGGTATTTACTTTTTTAATTGCAGCCATTCACGCATTTTAGAAGACATAGAGCCTATCTCAGAATAAACAATATTTAGTGTTACAAGTAACAGTGCATACAGTCAAAACATAGTGGCATACCGACCATTCTGACAGACAAGGGCTTTTCTCTTGTCCTGGTGGATTTGTTGTAGATAAAATGGCTTTCACTACCTTTAAATGGAAGGATAAGCAAGTAAGTGCACTCACATAAAATGTAAAATGTAGAACAAGAAAAAAATTGTGAATATAGAATGCAGAATTTTCTTACTTTTCTAACTTTTTTCCTTTGCTTTTTACATTTTTTCATGTGTATTAAATGTTTTGTTCGTGTACTTGCCTGTTTTCCAATATAGAGCAATCGGGTTCCCTCAAAGCAAAAAAATCTGCTCTCATGTTAAACCATTTTTTCCTTTGTCTCCTGTGAATAATTAGGGCTCCCCAAACTTTATTACTGTGTTTGTCACCATTCCCTGAAGATTTTCCTCTTGTTAAATTAAAAACTTTTTTCTTTATTCTAACTGGTTTCTGACTGAAAAGGCCAAAGACGGTAGTTTTTTTGCTCTTATTTTGTAGGGCTCAACTTCTGCATTTTGTGAGAGCATGCTCCGTCATAAAGGCTTCAAAACTGGATTTTACAGGTAAGTTGCTATAAAATGTTTTGGTGTTCTAATGCATTTCACCTTAACCCGTTAAGTCCTCAAGTGAGCAACATAAATTTTGTCCAAACAATTTCATTAGATAATCTGGGTCAAAGATTATGAAAATTGATTAATTACTGATCTCCAGAGGGACAATTCTTCAATGATTTCTTATCAAATTCTCTTAAATAATAATTCTTAATGAAACTAGTTGGATAGCTGTCTAGAATGTGGATAGTGGGGCAGAACTGACTTACAGTTTTGCTTTTTGTCTTCCTTTTCCCACTGGTTGACTTTTGTTCAAACAGGTATGTTTTCTGATTATGTGGGGCTGGGTAGGGGGAGGGGGTGAGTAATGCCAAATATGGGCTGTCTTGGCATGTGCTGCTGTGAAGGGTTTGGTTTTCAAGTACAGTCTTAGTCTGGGATAGGATATAGAAGTCGGTGAGTCTTAGTCTAGAATAGCATACATGTTGTATCATTTTCCCATTTTCCAGGAAATTGGTTAGTTGGTTGAAGATTTTAGTTTAGACTAGGAAAACCGGGAATTGACACTCAGCAAATTAGCAAATTTACCCACAACCCAGTTTAATAACTTAATAACTTACAATGAAAGCATCAACCTCAATAGTTTTGAAAGATAGTGACTCTAGGATAGGGACTGGATTTTGGAAGATAGTCTGCAGGTATACTAGGGTAGCAAAATTCAGCTGAACCAGGTGTGGTAATAAGCTAAGGGTTCTGGGGTCCCAGCAGCACATCCCCTCCAAAAAGAACCTCCACCCCAGGGTATGTGGCCTAACTTAAACAGACAAGTTTATCCCTATGATGTCTTACTCCTTCGTAGTGAGCCTACGTTAAGAGGCACTGACCATCTACTGATTTTGTTTTTTGTCTGTGTGTGTTGTAGCTCACCGCATTTGATGGAAGTCAGAGAGAGGATCAGAATAAATGGCAAACCACTTGCCAAAGACAAGTTTGCAAAATACTTTTTTGACTGCTGGGATAATCTTCATAATAATGGTGATGTAAGTGGCCGAAAGCTCTTATCCACCATCCACATAATCATACAAGCCCAGGGTCACACATTTATCCTGTCATTTATTATTGGAGAGGTTCTGTCTTGTGCACTTCTTTGAAATTTAGTTTTGAAAAGTTTACCCTTAATATACAGCGAATCCTTTGTTTTTGGTTCATATAATTTCTTGAAAATTGCGTACTGTTCTGTACATATAATTGCTTGTCAACAGCTTAATCAAAACATAGGTCAGTGTGAAAAATACCATAATGTTTTTAAAACTGCTGTTTGTTTGTTGCACAACCTGCACATGCAATAGCCTGAATTTCCAAAAATACCATTGTAATCTACAATCTGCGGGTTAAGCTTCTTTGAAGGGTAATGAAATTATTTATTTGGGCCTTCTTTCATGTTAAAATGCAATGGAATTCAGAGTAGGTGGGGGAAACCTGCTCTAGAATTAATCAAGGTTGTTCTATGATTTAGGAATCCTTCTAGCTTACTTGTTTTATCGTTTGTAGACAAACTCCTGTGGACAAAAGACACAACTGTTCATGAATTAATTCCTTTATAGACTGCAAAAATAAACTCTGTGAGTCACAGAGCAACATAGTTTTATGTCTGAGCTTATTGGAGATAACATGATACTGGAACTGTTAACTTATCAGGTAATTTTAATTTATACTCATCTTGTAGGATCAAGGGAACACCACTATGCCTGCATACTTTAGATTCTTGACACTGGTGTCCTTCCATGTCTTCCTCCAAGAGATGGTAAGCTGCTGTTTGATGGTGTCAGTCTGGCTGAGTGGTTAGAGTACAAAGTGCTGGACTTGCAATTTGGAGCCCTGAATTCAAGTCCTGCTCTGACAGCTAGCTAGATTTCATCTCAGTTGTCCTGAGTTTAAATCCTTGGCCAAACTTGGTTTGCCTCTGGCCAGTTAGGATTCTTAACCCTGTTAAATTTGGTTCAGATTATTTGTTTCAGGCATTTGCTTGCCCCACTAGCATTATACTGCTATAAATTCTGCTGAGGGTAATTTATGGAATTATTATTATTTGCTAGAACTAATTTGCTTACATTATATGATGGTTTAATTTTAATATTTGAATGTTAACGTTAATTTTAATTAACTTTCATTGGTGAGTATTTTTATTGAACTCTTTAAGGTGGCTCCATAATTAAGACAAGAGCATTTAGCTGTGACAAATTTTCCGTCATTTTCCGTCGATTTTAACGCGATGGCTGCGAAACTTTCAAAAAACAACAGATATCATCCGGCAATAATACTAGTAATAATACTATTGCTTTGCAGCAATTTTTTTTTACTAGACGCGATTTTCTTTGAACAGTAGGGTCCTTTTGAGTGCTAATTTCTCAAGAAATATTTACCATCAATGAAATCAGAATATTTCGTATTATTGCCAAATGACTTCTGTTGTTCTTTGCAAAGGTTCGCAGCCATCGTGTTAAAAACCAAAAAGTTATGACGGAAAATTTGTCACAGCTGAATGCTCTTGAATTGATTAATGAGCCACCTTAGGGGAAGCGCTATTATATATGCATACTAATTCTCCTGACTGATCTTCATACATTTTCTTAAAGAACAGTTAAGAGAATTTAATAAAAGATCAAAGCATTTCCTTTTAATGGTCATTTTGATGTTGGTTGGTCTTGGGACTAATAAGGTCTCTGTTCTCATTTTTTCTCGAAAGGAGTTCAGTCAGTTATGGCATGATTTAACAGCTTAGCATATAAAAGTTACAACGTCAATATTGTTCTCTTTGCTTAAAAGGTTGATGTTGCCATTGTAGAGGTTGGGATTGGAGGTGCTTATGACTCTACAAATATTATTCGGTAAATGCTATAAATAAATAGTAGCAATTTAATACCCTCCAGTCTGCCTCTCATGATATCCAACAGGGTTAAGAAACCCTGACTTCAAACAAGCTACAATCATTGGATTGTAATATGATTATCCAGTTAGAAATATTACATGCCAAGGGAGTTGTAAAATGTGTTTGTTAAAAGAGGTAAGGTTACGTGTAAGTGTGACTTATTCCTTATGTCAAGGTTATATATGGGGTTTGTTATATCCAAGTTTCACTTTATACGTAAAGCATTTTACACTCTCAATCCCTCGAAAACATAACATTAAAAGCTATTTCTGTTGTCTTCCTTAATAATAAATAAACTTTCCTCCAACAGCATAGCTAGCTCCACAAACCATCTTGTGCCTTAATTGCCTTGTACCAATGTGCTTTCCCACAGGAAGCCTGTGGCATGTGGAGTAACATCACTAGGGATGGACCATGTCAAAATGCTAGGTGGAACATTGGAGAGTATTGCCTGGCAAAAGGCTGGAATATTCAAGGTATTTATACAAAGTAAATGGCCTTAGAATGTTTAAAGATTTAGTGGTAGCCCACACTTAGTAGCAATGAGATGTGTACACATTGATCCCATGCTAGTGATGCATATGTTACAGGTCAGGTTGTAAGCATCCGAGGCAATGTTGCAATGCTGTGTTGGGCTAAAAATCGATGTTGCGAATCGTCCCGTGTAAAATCATCTTAAAAGTGAAGTAGGCTTAAAAAGTTATTCTAGTCTTGTCAGTGTATCATAATGTTCGTCAAAGTAAATTTGTACGTTGGAATTTATTCTTTTATATGTTACAGTTCAAAATTTTATTCTGGTTAAATTGTTTAACATTAAAGATTGATTCTCAATTTCCCCTCATTTGTTTTCTAGCCCTAATTTACGAATAATTAGGGTTAGGAGACAAAGGAAATTGAGAATCAACCTAGGTTAAAAAATTTAACCTGAAATCAAATTTGACCTGTAACACATACACTTATCTCCTAAACTAGCAATACAGAAGGCAATAAGAGCTTGGGCGCAAAGCAAAAGGATAAATATATATAATTAAATATTTTTACTTTTAGCAGAGCATACACTTATTATAGCCTCTGATAGTTGCTTCTTTTGTAAGTAAGTTCTCCATTCTCAGACCCTGGTTGTGTGCTTGCTTCATCTTTGGTTTGTGTATAAATTTGTTAATTTCTCGTTTTAGCCTGGAGTACCAGCATTCACTGTCCCCCAGCCAGATAATGCTATTGCGGTCATAGCTGACAGAGCTAGAGAAATTCAGGTATTTTCATTCACAAACATCTTTACATGTCTAAACACTTCTGATAGCATTTCTTGTTTATACTTTTGTTAAAAGCCTCAGTTATCATTGTGATTTCTTATTTTTTTTGAAGGTCCCACTCCATGTGGTTCCATCATTAGAACATTACCCTGGAGATATGCCTGGTAATTTTTTCAAGCTGTCGTGTTGTGTTTATTATTAGGATAGTGTATATAGCATTACTATTATTATTATCACACAGGCCATAAAAAATTAATAATATCATAATACGTGATTGCAACGCCAGTTGCAGGGCTGGTCAGGCATTTAGTAAATATCCCTTTAAGCCCCAATATCCACATACAAATTCTCCAAACTGATCTATATATATTTCCTTCGTGAATGAGTTGAGAGAATTTGATAAAAGATCAAGGCATTTTCCCTTAGGTGATCATTTTATTAATTCCCATAACCTAATCTCTTGACATTGTATGGATATCGTTAGGAGAAAATTGATGTTAGTCACTATTGGGACTTAAAGGGTTAAGGAGTTACAGTCAGCCCCCATTAATACAGACACTGACGCCCGGTTTCTTTCACAGACATATTTCGCCCAACTTAAATTTCTTTTACATTCCGTGGGAGTAGTCTCGGATAAGGTTTAAGTGAAGAAAAAGAATTAAACAGTAACATGGAAAATAGATCTTGAACCGGACGAAGGAGAGCATCAGTACTTGAATGCCTCACTGGCACTTCAACTTTGCACAACATGGTTAAACAGGTCACTTGAGAAAGGCAAAACTATTGAAGGTCTAATTTTCTTTTACTTCTTCAGGGTTGCGTCATTTTTTAACATTATGTTAATTAACAATAATATTATTGGACAAGGCTGAGTAGAATATTGTGATTTGTCTGTGGCGAGCAGATCAATTTTCTGCCAAAGCTGAAGAGAGGCTGCGAGACACTGACAAATCATGATATTTTGCAATTACTGAGTTCAATTGTTTTATCATGTGATCACTTAGTTTGAACATTTCCGGGAAGCGAAGGGAACTGCCATTTTTATGCAAGAGTAATCGCAAGAAGGAGAAAAGCATGGTTTCATTAAATGCAAGAGCAGAATATTATTTACAGCCAAACACAGCTAGTTGGACAACATTGAGCAGACTGTTATTTGTAGGCAGTTATTTGCAGGTCACGTGATGGGCTCTTGGCCAATAGAAAGAAAGAAAAATTTGCATCGTCATAATGATAATATGTAATATTTATTTCTAATGTTTTAAATTGAAGATGTTGGCAAGCAAACAACCACAACCAACTCATCAAGTAGAGAAGAGACTGCAGATGAGCCTTCATCAAAAAAACAAAAACTTGATGTTCCTGTGGCTAAAACATTTAATGTTTCTGATGCTTTGAGGAATGGTAGGGATCAAAACGTTTTACTATCTAAGTAATTTCGAATTTTAAAATGAATATGAAAACATAAATGCTGCAGTGGTTAATCAGAGACATTTTAGGGCCTGCGTAGGAGGCCAAGTTCAAGTCAACTGCCATGTCTTGTACAAATATGTATTAGCTACAGTGTAGCTAGGTATGTTTTCAAAAGGGGCTGTTTAGGTTTCTGCTAGGGCTGTAAATGAACCCCTTCTCTCATTAGAACGTTTACTGCATAGGTATTTCACAGTCATTGACATGTTGTCTTCAATGATATTAAGGTCTTCCAGGGCAGCTCTTCTCTAGCATCACCCTGTGGCTCCTGGCACCTCACTTTGGCTCTTCAGTGACTAGGAGATCTTTATTTTTTCATACAAATCATATGCTGGGCACCCTGTATTTCCCAGGTTTAGAGCTTTAATATTGGGCTGATCCCTTCAATTTTTCTTGGAGCACAGCCTTGTCTTTATTAATGTTTGCACCTTAGAATTTTAAATTTACATATAGCAGCTGCAATAACCTTAACACTAATGGTCCTAATAAAAAAGCAACTTTTTTCAATATTAAAGTGCAACAAAGTTTTCTGTGTTGTTATACTCTTTGTGCATGATTGTGCTGTTTGGGGTAGATCTAGAAGTAGTGATTACCGTATTTATTCGATTAACCGTCCTGTGCGCTTATTAAATTTTTGGACCTTGAGAGTGGGCGCTTATTCGAGGTGGGTGCTTATTCGAGGCTGGGCGCTTATTAAATTTTTCAGCATTTTCAGCAAGTGTAGTATGTTTATTTTGCAACAAAACAATAAATGGTAACAACAAAACTCGAAGATGTAACAAGGCAAGGTTCCTGTAAAATACTTTGAAGAAAACTCTGTCTTCGAGGAAGTCGTGAGTCTGAGTTTTGAGTCTTGAGTTTGAGTGGGAGTGGGAGGGAGGTGGGGTGGGCGCTTATTAACTTTTTCTGCCTTTAGGATGGGTGCTTATTCGAGGTGGGCGCTAATTCGAGGTTGGGCGCTTATTCGAATAAATACGGTACTTTTTAGATTTTTACTGAAAGCAGAATATTTTTGGGTGACACAGTTTAATTTTCTTGTTCCCATCTTTTGATAATCAAGGCTTAAAGAATACAAGATGGTGTGGAAGAAATCAAGTCATTGTAAGACCAAGCGTTACCTTCTATCTGGATGGTGCTCATACACCAAGGAGTATAGAGGTTTGTTTAGGAAATAGAAATGCTGCATTTGCTCACATAATAGTGTTCTGAAACTTTAATTTTTGCTGCTGAATGAACATAGTTATAATATGTTGTGGTTCAAATTTTTCATTGGTTAAAACAAAAGTAATAATAGGAAATTTAAGAATAACAAAGACAGCAACAAGAATGTCAAAATGCAATACTGGTCAGTTTAACTAGAAAAACAACAACTCTGCATGTGCAACACACTGTTTTTGTACATTCCTTTGCCTTCCATTCCTTTGTATAAATGTCTAATTTCATGTTTTTTGGAAAAGGAAACAAGCAACAACAAAATTTTCTCTTTTGAAATTGGATGTGGCTCTTATATTGGGAATTCAACTCCAAAACACAGGAAAAATAACGGATTCCCATTTTTGGATATTTTAGGGTATTTAAAGAATACCCANGGCATAACAAAATCTAAAACAAAAAAACTAAAAAAAGACTAAAAAATTCTTTCTTTTTTAAAAAAACAGTATTAAAATTTAAAAATACGTGGGTTGCCAAAAAGAAAAAATTTAACCTTTAAAACCTTTTAAAAACCCATAAAAGCTTTTTCCCCCCCCCCCCCCCCCCCCCCCCCGAAAAAAAACCCCTTACCCTTGTCCTATTAACACTGTTGGTAAAGATGGCAGTCAAAGTGTTACTTGCAATGGCCAACTTCAACTTTCAACTTTATTTAAATTTGAAAATATAGCAAAAGATACATTGGGACTTGCAGTTAGCAAGGCTATTTGAGGCAGGCCAGGCTACATAATTTACAGACAAACTAGACAAATACAAAGAAATTAGGCGTTATATAAGTATATATATTATACATTAAATAGATACGTTCTACTTAAATGCAAGGACAATAATTAAAGTGAAATTTTAAATGTAAAATAAAATGAAAATAAAGGACAAGAGAATTACTTTTTCATTTTCACGATGGCCAAATTAAAGTCTGTGCCTCATAGAATACAACTTAAACATTACGCTGAGCAGTCACCGTTCTAAAGAGAAGAAATGTGGTACATATATGCTCTAAGTTTTTGTTCTTTGAAACTTATTAATATTTTTGCCAGGCTTGTGTGAAATGGTTTAAAAAGAGAGCAGATGAAGAGAAGGAGAAAGAAAGGTGATCTTTAAATGTTTTATTGTAAAATAATTTTATACATAAATGTGGTTTTGTCAACTGGAGTTGGCAAGATAGATTGGCCACCTATAGGGAGACAGAGAAGCTGATGTTTTGAGAACTATTCCTTTGTCAGAGTGAATAGGCATCTTTTTGGCTCATTTGATCATTCTGCCCTGTCCTTGTTACAAATAACTGACATCAGCCACTGACATAAACACTACCACCTGTATGAAAGGAAGGTGTTGGCAGCCCCACCCATCTTAGACCTCCATACTCTCCCCTTGGAGAGTTTCTTGATTTGAACCCCCTACCCCTCTAAAAATTGCATTTTTAGCCTTATACTTTCTTTTGCAAATTTTGGCCTTTTAATACCACCCATTCCCACGACCTCCCCCCTCAGAATTTCCAGTGACACTCCACGGCCTGGGTAAGGATATTTTCTGGAACCACACAATACTATGGTGTCTCACAATGCTTTGTATGACAGTATTTTTCAGTGTTTCGACTTTTAAGGATCAATTCTGATTTCCCTGTTTTATTTTACATAAAGCCACAACGCTGGTAAATGTATCATGTTTCATAGTCACTGGACATCTTTTCAGTATACTTTTTCTGTACTATCAACTGAAAAGCGTCAAACTGTTGATCAATGAAAACCGAAAGGGCTCACAAATCATTATGAATGACCATAAAGAAAACATTTTGATATCTGTTTCATAATTTTTCTTATTTTCAGTGGGAGTGTCATACGTGTCTTGCTTTTTAACCTGACTGGTGGTCGGGATCCTAACAGCCTTCTTAAACCAATTATGGTGTGTAAAGAAAAGTAACTATGTAGATAAAAAATTATTGACAAAAACAAAGATAATGAATCTGTTATATGTTGTGTTTTCTGCAAACTTCTTTCAGGGTCTTTGTATTGTTTTGTTTTATACTTTTGACACACAGGAAATAGTATTTTCTAATAGATTAGTGGATTGTGCTCAGCTGTGCTTATTTTAATTTAGTCTTTGTCAGTGCCTCAGTGGTTCTTGTCATGTCATTTAAATTTTATTGCAGGAATGCAACTTCGATCATGCAATGTTCTCACCTAATGCAGCAAATGTGGATCCTACAGGTAACGATGCAGGTATGCTGCGTGTGTTGAAAGTAAGCTGTTCTCTTCAAATACCATAAAATTCCGAAAATAAGCCTCTCCATGTATAAGCCCCTCCAAATATAAGCCCCCCAAAATCATAACGCAAAAAACCCTCCGTTAAATCGCCCATCCTAATATAACCCCCGCGGGGGGCTTGTAATTGGAATTTGCTCTCGAATACAAGAAAGTAAAACAAAGCAAAAAATGATAAATCTCCTTCCCACTACAAGCTATTTCAATCCATTTGGAAATGCAAATTTCCCTCCGTACATAAGACCCTCCAAATATAAGCTCCTCAAAAACGACTTAGTTTCGGAATTTTATGTTATATCTTTTATTGTCAAGTTTGTGAGCACTTACCACTTATATGGAAAATCCAGTACTTCCTGTGAAAATTCAAATTGTTGGTCCATGATAGGAAAGTCTGTTGTCAAGCTAGAAATGGCCTACCATTTTTTTACCATTATTTTTTTTTTCTTCCCAGATTTGACGAATTTTACAGTAACTCAAGACAGCCAGCTGCGTTGGTGTGTTGAAAATCAACGGGTGTGGATGGCTTTGAGAGGTGCAGGTTTCCAACCTCATGCTGACCCATTACAGGACTCTTTTGACACTGATCATGTGATAAAAAATGGCCATGATGATGGGCTGTATTCCACAATTTTCCCCTGTGTATCTCAAGCCATTAGATGGCTCTTGTCTGGAAGGGATCCTCATATTGCACCATTGTCTCCTGGTGGTTTTGCATTACCTGATTTCATATCAAAAGCCACAAGACTTCAAGTCCTGATAACTGGTAGTATACATCTTGTAGGAACAGCCATGAAAGTACTGGGACCTGAAATTGTTGGAGAAGTGTAGACTAGAACATAAATGTGATATAACACAAGACAATGGTATATGCTCTATGTACTGTACAGCCCAGGGAAATGTACTCAGTGTTCTATGCACCGCGGGGCATGTCCATCCTTGAAGTGGGCCCTCTTCTCCTAGGTGGCTGCTGGGTCATTTATTCAGAGCTGGCCTCTGAAAGAATTAAGCTGTTAAACCTCATCGTCATCATAACCTCTCTCTTCAATGCCATTTCTGTCATTGTCGTCTCCTGATCACCATAGCAAAGTACCGTTGACCAGTCTTTATAGCCACATTGCATCACATTCTTGCAGTTGCTTGCAATCATGTCACTGAGCTGATTGTCAGCTTTGCTGTGATGATGAAGCCTAACAAGACTGAAACTTCAGTTCGCAGCTGCTTACACTATATGTGATATAGGAAGTGGGTGGACGAATGGGGATCCAAACTTCCCACCTCCAGTACCATTCATTCCCAGCGCCTGTCCCCTTTTTCTTGGCTTCCTCCCTTTAGTCTTTTTCAACAGTGTTGCATAGAGTCCCTCTATTTCTCCCACTTCGACCATTTTAGAACTCCCGTCTCCTGCCCCCCATTCTTCTAGGCCTCCACCCCTCTGTCTTCTCCCATTAAGAAGTGGTGATAATCTAGACTAATGTCACCTTGGAATCCATGTCAGTAGCTATAAGATGACGTGCTTGTAAGATTGTTGTGATGCTCACTACCTTCATTTTCATGCTTAACATATGCTTCATTCATTTATTAGTAATATTTAATAATTATTTTACAAATCATTTATGTTGGATAAGTGTTGAAAGCGAGAGCAGTAGAGCATATTCACTGATAATGTACATAAATAGGTATGAAGAAACACTTTTCGCTTTTGTCTTATACTGTAATTTATTATTTTATTTTCCAGAAATTAATTACCAGAAAGTAAGAAAAAAATCCATGCAAATATTGTATTATAATAAAATAAGTGGTTATAATATTGTATTTTTTTGAATAATCCTCTGAGAGTCAAGTTATAATATCCACTGAATACAAACATTAACAGGTCTATTTACTCAAGTACACATCCATAGTCTTATTCTGAAGTAAAATATTCATATTGTGTAATATTTTTTCCCAAAAAATTCCAGTTCTTTTCAAATTCCATTATTAGTTTTCTTACATTTGCCGTAATTTGTTGGGCCTTGAAAACCCCTCCTATGTGGAAAGTATGAATTAGAATTTAAAAGACTAAACATTGGTGACGGGAAAGGACTGAAATGTTATAAAAGTAAACTTTATGATACAAAGAGTTTTAAAATGTTTTTCTTGTTTTGGGTACTTGTGAAAATTTATTTTGAGAACAAGGCAATTATCAAAAGGTGAGTTAGTGGTCTTGATTGACTATGGAAATAAAGAAATGGTAAAGTTATAGTTACCTGTAAACAGTCAAGACATTAATAATTCTGTTATCCTCTGCTCATCCAGTGCACTGCAAAACTAAAATCAAGGGCAAATTGTTAAGACATAAATGGAGTAAATTTCGGGAAACTCTGGCAAAAGTTGGGCAGGCTTGTTTGTTGTTCCATAATAGGCAACTTGACCAGTGTACAACATCGCTCAGGGGAAGTGCATGAGAGAAAGCTTGCTGAGTCTTTTTTTAAAACAACCTTTAGTAGTTGTTGTAAAAATAAGTGCCAGAAACACGTGAGAAATGTTGACAAATGAAGCATAAATTATGAGGATATTATTTACATATCTTATGCATGTAATGATAATTATCACTTCTTGAAACACTGGTAGCGTAGTGAAGGTGTAACATGTATATGGTTTAGAGACTGAGCCTGAAGTAAACATGACCGCTGTGTATTGGCCAGGTTAGTTCTAATTTGTCGAGGTCCATGAAAAACAAGAAAGAATGAGGCAAGTGTTCAGCAATCTTGACCAAACAACATTGGGCAATAAAGAACCTATCACATGGCCAAAAGAAAAGAACCCTGGGTGCCAGAGTTGTTATCTGATAACAAAAGTCATTGGGAGCAATAAAAAGCACCGGTCTGTGCCAGAGGTTTTTTCTCGCAGCTCTGGCCAAAGATGTGTTGGCCAACACCAAAAATTCTTGCTGCATGCAAGAAAAACCTCTGGTACCCTGGGCAAAAGAAAAGCTTTTCTTGTGTGAACAAAGCGGGTATCCTGTGCCGGCTCAGTTAGCCTATCAGATCACAGGATTCACTTCATCTTGCTTCACTCGCAAAGCCAAGCATAATTATAATAAACTTTGTATGGACTTGAACTAGAACAATAACAAATTAAACTTGCAGTAAATTTGGTATCGATGGAATGTAAAAAGAATGTAAATTTAATACACCATCATGCTTTAGTGGAATTGTTATGCCGTGGAATCATAAATATATTAAAAGAAAGTGTAAGAATGGCCTACGAAGAGTGATTGTTTTTCTCAAACCCAAGAATGCAGTTAAGGATGTCTGTTATATACACGTGTTCAATTTATAGGAACAATGCAAAGAATTCGCTCCAAAATAGCTCAGTTTCGAATTATCAAAATTCACTCTTGGCTCTGAGGTTGAGCTAGAGAAATTAAACAAAATTTGAAGTATTTTAAACTGAATCTCATTTTTTTTTATTTTCTTTTGTTTCATTCCTCTCAACGTTGTAGCCAAGTGTGAATTTTAATAATTCCAAACTGGCCCATTTCATCCTGTGAATAGTTAATTTTGTACCCAGATCTCACTCTGTCTTATGCTGAAGTGGGAGATCTGGGTACGAGATTAGTGAATAGTATTCTAATGAGAAGTAACACACTAGGGAGCTGAATATTATCCTGGGTTCAGGGTAACATTTTAGGTTGGACCTGATCAGGCGTATTTTTTGTGATATGGCTTCACTTGGTTCATAGGCAGCATTTGGCAAAAGAATTTTCATGCCTCCTGAAACTTTTGCCTTATTATGGTCCAACGTGTCATTTTCACTCAAACATTTCAATACCCTAAATTTCAAATTTGATCGTTAGTGAGCTTGAACAAAGAGAACGCTGACATCCCGGACGTCATGAATAGCAACCCGAAATTTGATGTCTCGCTTGATGGAACACTTTTGTCTCAGACAATGAATGTGAATGCCCTTGTCTTGAATCCCGCTGTACGAATTTGTCGAGTCGGAGCACTGAAAGAGTGAAAATATCAACTTCCGGTTGCCATTTTTGACATCCAGGACGTCAACATTTTCTTTGGCTAAGGTCTCTACTATGTTACATGATCCCCGAGCCCCAACAGCAAAATACCATAGAATTCCGAAAATAAGCCCCGGGGCTTATATTTTTCAAAGGGCATTTTTGAGGGGCTTATATTTGGAGGGGCTTATCTAGGGAGGAAAATTTGTGTTTCAAAATCGATTGGGCTAACCTTATAGTTAGAAGTAAATTTACCATTTTTGCTTTGTTTTAATTTGTATTTGAGGGCAATTTTCCAAGTACAAGGCCCCGGAGGTTTATATTTGGAGGGGCGATTTAACGGAGGGTCGTTTGCATTACGAGTTTGGGGGACTTATATTTGGAGGGGCTTATACATGGAGGGGCTTATTTTCGGAATTTTATGGTAGCTCCTAGGCTGTAATCACGTGCTAAAAAGAAGACGACCAGTAAAAGCAACAGCGGAAATTGCAAGTATTTTATTCCAACATTGCTCTGCTAATTAACTATAGCAAGTGTTACCATTAATTTGTTGAAAGCCTAGAGAAGCATAATTGAAGTTTGACTTGCCAGCAAGCATGCATTATAATAATTCATACATTTTTGTATAATACATACCAGATGAAGTTTTAATGGCCCTGCCACACTTTGTAATATATATAATTTCAAAAAAATTGCAATCAGGCATTGGCTGAATCTTTTCATAATGTACAACACAACTACACCAAGCTTGCTCCTTATGATTTTGAAAGCATGGAAAACAGAATACGTAGAACAAAAGAACAACATTCTAATAACCATCCATTAGCAATAATATTATCAATACCTGTAAACAGTCAAGACATTAATAATTCTGTTATCCTCTGCTCATCCAGTGCACTGCAAAACTAAAATCAAGGGCAAATTGTTAAGACATAAATGGAGTAAATTTCGGGAAACTCTGGCAAAAGTTGGCTTGTTTGTTGTTCCATAATAGGCAACTTGACCAGTGTACAACATCGCTCAGGGGAAGTGCATGAGAGAAAGCTTGCTGAGTCTTTTTTTAAAACAAACTTTAGTAGTTGTTGTAAAAATAAGTGCCAGAAACACGTGAGAAATGTTGACAAATGAAGCATAAATTATGAGGATATTATTTACATATCTTATGCATGTAATGATAATTATTACTTCTTGAAACACTGGTAGTGTAGTGAAGGTGTAACATGTATATGGTTTAGAGACTGAGCCTGAAGTAAACATGACCGCTGTGTATTGGCCAGGTTAGTTCTAATTTGTCGAAGGCCATGAAAAACAAAAAAGAATGAGGCGAAAGTTCAGCAATCTTGACCAAACAACATTGGGCAATAAAGAACCTATCACATGGCCAAAAGAAAAGAACCCTGGGTGCCAGAGTTGTTATCTGATAACAAAAGTCATTGGGAACGATAAAAAGCACCTGTCCGTGCCAGAGGTTTTTTCTCGCGGCTCTGGCCAAAGATGTGTTGGCCAACACCAAAAATTCTTGCTGCATGCAAGAAAAACCTCTGGTACCCTGGGCAAAAGAAAAGCTTTTCTTGTGTGAACAAAGTGGGTATCCTGTGCCGGCTCAGGTAGCCTATCAGATCACAGGATTCACTTCATCTTGCCCACTCGCAAAGCCAAGCATAATATTATTATAATAAACTTTGTATGGACTTGAACTAGAACAATAACAAATTAAACTTGCAGTAAATTTGGTATCAATGGAATGTAAAAAGTATGTAAATTTAATACACCATCTTGCTTAAGTGGAATTGTTATGCCGTGGAATCATAAATATATTAAAAGAAAGTGTAAGAATGGCCTACGAAGAGAGATTGTTTTTCTCAAACCCAAGAATGCAGTTAAGGATGTCTGTTATATACACATGTTTAATTTATAGGAACAATGCAAAGAATTCGCTCCAAAATAGCTCAGTTTCGAATTATCAAAATTCACACTTGGCTCTGAGGTTGAGCTAGAGAAATTAAACAAAATATGAAGTATTTTACAATGAATCTTTTATTTTCTTTAAATTTTTCTTTAATTTTTTTATTTTCTTTTGTTTCATTCCTCTCAACGTTGTAGCCAAGTGTGAATTTTAATAATTCAAAACTGGCCCATTTCATCCTGTGAATAGTTAATCTTGTACCCAGATCTCACTCTGCCTTATGCTGAAGTGGGAGATCTGGGTACGAGATTAGTGAATAGTATTCTAATGAGAAGTAACACACTAGGGAGCTGAATATTATCCTGGGTTCAGGGTAACATTTCAGGTTGGACGTGATCAGGCGTATTTTTTGTGATATGGCTTCGCTTGGTTCATAGGCAGCATTTGGCAAAAGAATTTTCATGCCTCCTGAAACTTTTGCCTTATTATGGTCCAACGTGTCATTTTCACTCAAACATTTCAATACCCTAAATTTCAAATTTGATCGTTAGTGAGCTTGAACAAAGAGAACGCTGACATCCCAGACGTCATGAATAGCAACCGGAAATTTGATGTCTCGCTTGATGGAACACTTTTGTCTCAGACAATGAATGTGAATGCCCTTGTCTTGACTCCCGCTGTACGAATTTGTCGAGTCAGAGCACTGAAAGAGTGAAAATATCAACTTCCGGTTGCCATTTTTGACATCCAGGACGTCAACATTTTCTTTAGTTAAGGTCTCTACTATGTTACACGATCCCTACAGCCCCAACAGCAAAATACCGTAAAATTCCGAAAATAAGCCCCGGGGCTTATATTTTTCAAAGGGCATTTTTGAGGGGGCTTATATTCGGAGGGGCTTATCTACGGAGGGAAATTTGTGTTTCAAAATCGATTGGGCTAACCTTATAGTTAGAAGTAAATTTACCATTTTTGCTTTGTTTTAATTTGTATTTGAGGGCAATTTTCCAAGTACAAGGCCCCGGGGGTTTATATTTGGAGGGGCGACTTAACGGAGGGTCTTTTGCATTACGAGTTTGGGGGGCTTATATTTGGAGGGGCTTATACATGGAGGGGCTTATTTTCGGAATTTTATGGTAGCTCCTAGGCTGTAATTACATGCTAAAAAGAAGACGACCAGTAAAAGCAACAGCGGAAATTGCAAGTATTTTATTCCAACATTGCTGTGCTAATTAACTATAGCAAGTGTTACCATTAATTTGTTGAAAGCCTAGAGAAGCATAATTGAAGTTTGACTTGCCAGCAAGCATGCATTATAATAATTCATACATTTTTGTATAATACATACCAGATGAAGTTTTAATGGCCCTGCCACACTTTGTAATATATATAATTTCAAAAAAATTGCAATCAGGCATTGGCTGAATCTTTTCATAATGTACAACACAACTACACCAAGCTTGCTCCTTATGATTTTGAAAGCATGGAAAACAGAATACGTAGAACAAAAGAACAACATTCTAATAACCATCCATTAGCAATAATATTATCACATTTTAGTGCAATGAGCAGCAGATTACATGTGCTAGTCAAATGTTAGGTTAGTTTTTTTGTGCAGCCAGTAATATGAGTGCTTGAGCTGCCGTTTCCTGGTCATTCCACAGCTTGATGCAAGCAGTGACTGGAGCACCTGAAAGAATAAATGAAAAAACTGAAGTAAAGAACTCAGTTGGAGATAATAATTTTAAGGTTTTGGGGTGTTGTGGCACTGTTGCCGGGTGATGTGCACCTATTTGAAAGACTGTTTGTGATTGGCTGGGTAAACAATAGGGATTGTGACATAACAATGCCCCTATCCCTGAAAAAAATGGAAGTGCAGATTAAAGGGGACCAATGAAATTAGAGGTTTAGAACGGTGTAGGTCATCTGTTGCCAAATTGCTAGTCCTTTATAGAGAGGAGAAGTGTGATGTCAAGTTACCATGGTAGCAAAATCTTTGGATGACAACAACAGGGAACTTAATACGCGACGATGTTGGCAACGGCAAAGAGAATGGCAATTAGAAAAAGCAATGAGTTAAGATATCATTAGCAAAACAACGACTTTCCACGTGCATCACGCGTTTTTGTACATTTCTTAGGCGACATGAAACTTCCTAATTTCACGTAGCCTGTTCCAGGCTCTGAGATAGTTGAGCCTGCTGAATTGAAAAAGCGAGAACACGCCAACTTATTGTGTGCCTTTTACTTTTGCTTCTTCTCCACTATCTGAGAGACTGGAACAGGAGAAATTTCACGCACCTTCTTTCTGGAGTTGGTGAACACAACGCAAAAATTGTCTTTTCCTTTTGGTAAACTTAGATACTGTCCTTTCGACAACCGCAGAGATTTTGCCAACATTTGACAAATTAAATGTATTTGAATAAAATAGATGAAGTTTGAAACGATGCAAAAAATTCACTTTTTAAGTGACGTTTTCGGTTTGTGAACATTCAGAAATTTTGCTATCATGGCAACCTGGCGCAACGACTTCCCCTCTCTATTGGTTTTTCTACCAGTCATTTGCTCAGTTTTAATTTGACCAGTACCACTCTATAAAATCCACAATCCATTAACAGGGGCGGATCCAGGATTTTTTTTAGGAGGCGTGCACTTGTCTCTTGCTCTACTTCAACACCAATAAACCACATAGTTTTTTTTTGTTTTCAGAATACCAGTTGTATTAGAAAACCGCAGGTCATCTCAGGGGGGGGGGGGGGGGGCAATTTTTTTCCAGTCATTTGCTCAGTTTTAATTTGACCAGTTCCCTTTTATAAAATCCCCAATCCATTAACAGGGGCGGATCCAGGATTTTTTTTAGGTGGCGTGCACTTGTCACTTGCTCTACTTCAACCCCAATAAACCCCATAGTTTTTTTTTGTTTTCAGAATACCAGTTGTATTAGAAAACCGCAGGTCATCCCAGGGGGGGGGGGGGTGCACACCCCCTGCACCCTCCCCCTAGATCCGCCCCTGATTAAGAACACTTTCTCTGTCCATCTGGATAGTGTTTCATGGCTAAATATGTTTGATTTGAATTGAATTTAAATGAACGTTGGCTTCAAAAGCAGGTACTACTAAATAGAGGTTTTTTTTATGTAGTTGTAACAATCAGATATGAAAAAATCAAAACTGCTTTTTGTTCATTGAGAAGAGAAAATATTGCTGGTGCTAGCATACGTAATCATTGACCAACGCCGGCCTTGTTGTCATACCTGATGAAAAAACGCTATTGGTTGGAATTGCCCCTGGATATGGCACATTAAAGCCTCGATTCTGCAACAGATCGACCAAAGTTTCCAATGTTGACAGCAAGTCGAAGTCACGTGCTTCCAGCAGTGTATGTAGGAATATTTGAGAAAAATCTGGAAAGAGCCTTTTCAGAAGCCATGAGCATCTTGCTACCCTGGTGGGGTCAGGTGGGCTGTCAAAGGGACGTTTCCTTGACGGTCCAGGCAATGCTGAGAAATTCACATTTTTAACTTTAAAATGGAGCCTTTTCATACGTACTGTTAAGCACTATACCCTTATTATTGCATCTTTTATGGTCTGCGATCTACTGAGAAAAGTTTAAGTCAACCAAACAGTAAACCCACGGCCGCAAACTGGCATAAGGTTTCACTGACATTCACGAGAAGTGTTAATTTTGTAGCATGAATCAAACCCTGAATTAGAACAATCGAGTGTTTCTCCCGTCGAGGGATAACAACTTTATTTTGTTTTGGAATATAATTCTTTCGTCTGGTTTTTCAAACACAAGAATCTTAAGGGTGGTTGCTAATAAGACTCGCAAAATACGTTCTCAGTGAAAAAATCCGAACTAAACCGATCACAAAAATGTTGAGTTCCCGAAAAAATAAAGTACCACCAAAAATGCTAGAAATGACGTAACCTTTGAGTCCAATTGACAAATAGATTTAAACGAATATGAAGTTTTAAATTAAACCACCAAGTGAAAAATCAAATCATTTACTTCTTTGCGTTGTTTTCTTCTTTTAAGATCAATATGTTACCAGATTTTTCGGTTTACCTGATTATGTCTCTATAATGGCTGGAAGTATCATGATAGGTAATTCTCTTCACCCGAGTTTAATGTTGTGCAACGTGCATTTTTGGCAGAATTTCAACATTTTAATACTATCAATGTAAACATATAACTCGTGACGTAAAAATTCTTTCAAACCCTTTCCTCCCCCACCTTTATAATTTTCACCGCGGACCAGTGGACATTTTGAAAAAAAAAAAACAGTCGTTCGCTGTTTCTGTCTAATAAAAGCTTGCCATACCAAGGGTTTTGTCTATCCCGATAGCTTCAAGTTCGAGATCGATCGGATAATGATTAACCCTATTAATTGATGAAAAGGCAAATGTTTCACTGCTTTTTATTTAACATTTTTCTTGAAAGGTTCTGCCTTCAAGTTATAAGCTCATAAAATTCCTCACCTGTTGATGTTGAACGAGCGCCATGTTGATCAGTTGTGGACCTGTTTTCCTCTTCACAAGATTCGACTTTAGAACTGTCCATCAATGAACAGTCATCCATCTTTCGTCGTATAGCAACTTGTGCAGCCATGATTTTTCTCCTTGCGCAGATCAAAATACACTTTTGACACTCACAATCTTTCCATTTACAAAATCTTTTATGCCCCTTCAAAGCGGTACGGAATCCATGATGTTTGCATCGAGCACAAAGCGGTGTCTTCTTGGACAAAACGACTTGCGATCCCTGTTTGTGGGACATGATTTGGAATATTCTGGTGATCTAATGTTTGCTAAAGCACGTTACGTCTCGAAAGTTTCAAAACTGTCATGAATCGGAACGAAAATATGTTCAGTGAGCATGCCGATCTGTTACACTTTCGCCCTCCTTCATTCATGAAAACATGTACCGCGCGCGAAATTACGCAATAGTTTCCCGCCAGTTTGCTGGGCCTTTGCTACGAGGAACGATAAGGAAAAATAGCTAAAAATAGGCACTTTGGCCGTGTGCCTACGGATTTTAAAAAAAAATTGCCCTCTAGTACTCCGAAACTTGCATATCCCTTGAGTGTGTAAACGTATATAACTGCGAACTCTTCTCTACGAGGAAAAAAAAATAAAACAACATGTGAAAAAAGAAGGAAACAGGGATACGTTTTGCTTCTACTGTCTGTAACCAATCGAACTAGATGATCCGGGGAATGACCGACAAACAAGTACAGCATGTTTCAAGAAGCTTCGGTTTGTTTATGTCTGAAAAATATTCGTCTTCCGCCTTAAAGCACCAAGTCCACAAAAACGAGCAAAGTGAATAAATGCTTTCCAGGAAAAGACATTGCTCATAGGTGTGTCCGTTGGAACGAGTTAAAGCAACGGGCCCGGTAAGCTGTCTCCGTTTACATTAAAGATCGAGGTTTCAATAGTTTTGCATCTAACACGATAAAACTTTCAGTTACCGGGAGCTTCGAGAAACGGGCCCCTGGTCCGAAAACGGAATAAGCATGCAAATTTCGACCCTCCCCTGGCTTGGCTGTCCTTGTTCACAAGTGAATATAGACAAAGGCATTTTTCAGAGTTGAATTCAATGTGTCTACTTCGTATATTTCTGGTGATCAGGTTTTCCTTAGAAGCTACGTTCTACGGCAAATTCGTTTGCGGTCGCTTGCAGGAAATCAAATGTTTATTTTTATCACAGATTTAGATCATTTCACAGGCAGCCTATCTAAGCTCTCTGTTTCCACTCCTACTAAGCAGCAAAAAAAATCGAAGAGTAGCGAGTGGAAACTCGGTGGTAAAGAAAATCGCTTTAATCGCAGCTGATCGGAAAATAACCACACAAGGAGCAAGACCACACCAATAAAACATTGTAAAGCGTTTTTTATTGAAATCCCAGCGAGTATTTATCTTCTTGAACCTATTACCTGCATTCCCATACAAATCCTTTAATATGTTCGGGTTCACAGCAGAAGCTCAATGCCATTTTGAGGATTACACAATATGATATAAACTCTCATACGGGACTTTCGCTGCCTGTGATATTCCCTCTTAAATCTCTTTCTTTCCTTCCAATTATCTAGTTTGCTGTTAAACAGCAAAATAAACCTACGCAAAAAAAAAACCTGTTTGGAGTTAAACTTCATTGTGGGAAGGAGAGTTGACTGACGACACTAAAAAAACGAAGGAGACTAAAATCAATGCCGCCATTGAATAAATGAAAACGACCCAACCCTAGGTGTTCGTTTTCGACAGGTGTCCACTAAAAGAGCGTTCAGTGAAATTGTAGCGCATTGTAAGTCACTGTTATATTGAAAACACTTTAATTTCATATCATACAGATTCTACTAGATGACCCTTCATCAAGTTCTTAAATATTTTTCACGTTTATTCTTATAACTGGTCAGCTAGTCTGCTGGTTTAACTTCCATAGCTTGTTCAATCTGTGTTAACAACACGTCCCACTCAACAAACTGTTTTGACAGGAGATTTATCTACAAATAGTCAAGGAATTTGTATGCTGGTCTGAATTTACAATGATTATAATTTTTATCTGTTATTAGACTGAGGAAAGCCATTTAAAATACGTGTGCTGTTCACACTATTGCAAGCTACAATTGGATTCAAACAAGAAAATCTACACATCTGGAACCTAAAGAAGCATGCCCTGTTTGCACTACAACAAAAAATGAAATTTAGTGTTTGTAAACAATTTGAAAATTTTGGTAGCACCATTTTTTTCGGTTTTTGTAACCTTGTTTGCACCTGAGACAAAATAGTTTTTGTGTAACCAAAAACATCAATATTAAATTAAAGGAACTTTATTGGTTAAATTTACATTTCCCCAATGACAGTGGTTCGAAATCTTCCATTGACCAAAGAAAATAAAGCATGCATTATCAAGATCTTAAAAATACTGTAGAGAGGGAGAGATTGACATGCACCAAACACTTATATCTCCACCTCACACAGACTTTCCTAAAGTTGGAAAGATCATGCCCATGAAACTGTCTCTTGCCTTTTCTGAACACTCAGAGAAGCAGTTCTGATTACACGCTAAAATCTCCTTTCATTTCCCAAATATATATACTTATGAATTAAAGGGAGAATTTGAAATAAGATAATTTGAGTCACATACAATATTGTTCCACACAAACTTTGTTACGTCTACCAACCAACAACTGGGAAAAATAACAACAGTAAAGCCTATTAAAAAGGATACTATATTGTTGTAGGTTGAAAGCAGATTATGGAGTCTCTCACTGCCTGCAGTGAATTCCTCCTATGAGGAAACAAAGAAAAAGCAATACTTTGCATTTACATGCATTTCAAATAAAACTTATTTTAATTCTTTGAGTCCCAAGAGTGCAGTGATTTTGTTACCTGACGCATAGAAATCCCCAAAGATGTAAAATAATTCATGGCATGAATCCAGTAGGACACAAAGATCGATCAATTGATCTCAACATGTGTATTTTTTGAAATATCCCGTTCGTGTAACTTCTGTGGCAGTTATTATGGCTGTCTGTCTGTCTATGGCTTTATTTTTCTACTTTTTAGTTTAGATATCCTTTGTAGTGAGTCCTTCTCCCACAACGTTAATTATTTAATGGTTGCACCTAAGATTTCCAACAAAATGGGTTGTCCAAATGACATTCAACACTTTATAACATTTTCTTTCATGATCTAAAAGAGGCTCCGTGACAGCCCTACCTTTTGCTGGATATGAATTTCTACCAGTGGTTGAAGTTTGGCAGACCAAGTTGGTAAATCTAGTAGCAAAGCAACACAAAACAGGTACATAAAATACATTTATTTTGATTCAAGGCTTTTGAACAAAATGCTCAACAATGTTAATGTTACATATGAGAAAGTAATGATGACATACAAAATGAAAATGGATAAGTGGGTGGAATATGATCATCCAGGTGAGTGTAGTTCTGAATGTTCTGTAGGTGATAGTGACTAAGGTTTCGTAAACCCCTATGCAATCTTCATTTGAGTCAAAAGTTTGAATTTCTGATTTTTAATGACTTCACATTCAACCAAACTTGTGACATGTTATGAGTGGGTATGACCTGTGTATGTATGAATGGATTACATGAAAGTAATGTAACAGTAGCAGCCTGTGATACAGACGTAATCTAAACCATGTTAGTAACGTCTGCAAAGCAGTGTTGATATTCTTGTTAAGGGACCCCAACGGACTGAACAAATTAGTGGAAGAGCAATTCAAATTTCCTTTCAACCTGATTGGCAAATTGACAATGGATTTTTGAACACACCAATCATGGTGCATACTCAAACCCTGGTACACAAGTGGAGGCCCAGAACAAAGATTTTAGCATAGTTTCACAAAAAGACTTAACCTTAGTTTGGTTTGTGACGCAGGCTAGGCAACAGAAGAAATGTGGTTTTTTCTTACAAGGACATCTATCCAAGATGATTCCCTTGCAAGGAGAAAAAAGCAATTCTATTGCACGTTAATTAAAGGAGATAGTTCCTTAGGCAAAGTAGTAATAAGAGGCGGTTTAAGCACAACAAAAACTGTTACACACCAGTATATAAACCAGTTATCACGACCATAATCTACTTATAATGAAGTCAGATTAGAACCAATTTTTTCAGGCAAAGAGATGTTGAACAGTACTATCACAAACCTTTGAGGGGCTCTGTTGTAACCACTTTTTTCAAATCTTCAACTTGTCTAAGCTGCTCAGCACAGGATCTCAGTTGGCTTTCACCTAAGAATAAATTGCAAAGTCTTTTATATAACTATCATGATTTTTACTGTTACACTGGCTGATTGCTAAAAAAACATTTTTTTGGATAGAGTTTTTAACTATCAGGGCTTAAAATAAAAAAAATAAGGAATCACAGTTTGCCCAAGCAACATTCAAATTTGGTTGCGCAAGAATTACATGCTCTTTGTAATTCATGTTTTTTAATGAATCAGTTAGATGATGTACATAGGCAGTTGTACATTGCTAAGAGCACATGTAAAGTTAACTATTTTGTTATTTGCAATCTTATCATGGGGATAGGAATTTCTTGTTACATTTGACCATAGTTCAGGTGACAATAAGTAGAATTCAAACTTGTATGACAGTGTGTTAATAGCATGCCATTATTTATGAACCAATCCAATTGATGGAACTACAAAGAATTTGAGTGCATCAGTGACAAAAGAGATTACAGTCTTTCCTTCTCTTTTTATCTTCTCTTACGCGTTTGCTCTATTTGCTTGAATGTAACATGCTTGCCCTCACGNAAGATTTTAGCATAGTTTCACAAAAAGACTTAACCTTAGTTTGGTTTGTGACGCAGGCTAGGCAACAGAAGAAATGTGGTTTTTTCTTACAAGGACATCTATCCAAGATGATTCCCTTGCAAGGAGAAAAAAGCAATTCTATTGCACGTTAATTAAAGGAGATAGTTCCTTAGGCAAAGTAGTAATAAGAGGCGGTTTAAGCACAACAAAAACTGTTACACACCAGTATATAAACCAGTTATCACGACCATAATCTACTTATAATGAAGTCAGATTAGAACCAATTTTTTCAGGCAAAGAGATGTTGAACAGTACTATCACAAACCTTTGAGGGGCTCTGTTGTAACCACTTTTTTCAAATCTTCAACTTGTCTAAGCTGCTCAGCACAGGATCTCAGTTGGCTTTCACCTAAGAATAAATTGCAAAGTCTTTTATATAACTATCATGATTTTTACTGTTACACTGGCTGATTGCTAAAAAAACATTTTTTTGGATAGAGTTTTTAACTATCAGGGCTTAAAATAAAAAAAATAAGGAATCACAGTTTGCCCAAGCAACATTCAAATTTGGTTGCGCAAGAATTACATGCTCTTTGTAATTCATGTTTTTTAATGAATCAGTTAGATGATGTACATAGGCAGTTGTACATTGCTAAGAGCACATGTAAAGTTAACTATTTTGTTATTTGCAATCTTATCATGGGGATAGGAATTTCTTGTTACATTTGACCATAGTTCAGGTGACAATAAGTAGAATTCAAACTTGTATGACAGTGTGTTAATAGCATGCCATTATTTATGAACCAATCCAATTGATGGAACTACAAAGAATTTGAGTGCATCAGTGACAAAAGAGATTACAGTCTTTCCTTCTCTTTTTATCTTCTCTTACGCGTTTGCTCTATTTGCTTGAATGTAACATGCTTGCCCTCACGGCAATCCTGAGAAACTACTATCATTATCATTATCAATATTATTGTCTAATTTCTGCTAACCTGCAACAATGATATCAGCTTTGGCATCATCCGAAAGAGAAGCTTTTTCCATGAACTCAGGTGAAAGAAATGTTTCCAGCTCTTTCACTGAAAACATAAACCAAAATTAATAACGTCAATTTGGGACTGGTTAGTCTGCTGTGCATCTGTTTATAAATTGTTTCAGACACAACAGCTAAATGAATGCTCTGTGCATAATGTCTTCCAAGTTTTGGGTTTACTGAGTTGTCTTAATTTCTCATCTTCAAGCACTTTCAAGCCTAGTATGCAATTTCAAGGACTTCAAGGCATTTGGACCATACAAAACTCGTTTATCCCTTAACTTTTTAAAACCTTCCCCTAAAAACTACTTCCAAGAAAAACGAATCAATATCTTCAGAAACAATTAAAATAAAATAAAAACGTGTTGCTAAAAAATAACAAAGGTAAGCTTAAATTAAAATATTTATTTCATATATATACCGTTCTTCCAGACTGCTGCAATTCTTTTGTATTTGGTGCCGATTTTATCAAGATTTTTCTGTACATTGTTCAAGGTTCCTAAGCACTAAAACAAAAACATGTGACTTATTAAGCTGATAATTTTAAAATCCGTACACTTTACAATCTTGAGATGCTTATCAATGCCCAAAACAGTTAAACTACACAGAACTTGAGGAGACATATATTGCCTCTCTGCAAGAGGGTTGATTGACATTAAATCTATCAAAGGAATTACCGATGAACCCTTAAGACCAAGGACATCTTCTTCGCTGGTCAGAATACGTCTTTCTAGGTCTGATATCCGTTTATCAAGAACATCTACGACCGCTCCTTTCTCTCTGACGGCCATTTTTGTTTTCAACACATTTCTGCGCCCGCGAAGGAGTAGCCGTAGTTTCAATTACTTTGGTAGGTACTTCATATATGATTCCTATATACCTACCATTAGTTCGTATAAACCCCACCGAACTATCCAGGAGTTACGTAAGTCCGCGGTTATTTCAAAATGGCCGCGAAAACTTCTCGAGTTCACCACACCATTCACTGGTTTCGTAAAGGCCTCAGACTACACGATAACCAGTCTCTTAAGGAAGCATGTGAAACAAGTTTAACACTACGACCAATCTACTTTATCGACCCGGATTATGTAAAGCATGGCAACATGGGTTTCAATCGCTGGCGATTTCTGATTCAGTCACTCAACGATCTGGACAACAGTTTGAAAACGTTAGGCTCCAGGTGAGAGACGTTTTTCTGCCCCCCCTTTTTTTTTTAAATTAAGGTTTTTTCATATCTACAGTCTAATTTACATGAATACAAGACAGTCAATCTCAGCTGTAGTATAACGTATCCTCGCCCCACAAAAAAGGACAAATAAATGAAGCTCGCCTCTTAAAGAAAACAATAACAACAAGAAGGAGGAAGGAAGATCAGAGGTTTCGATATAGCTACCTATTTTGAAATTACTTTTAAAGACTTTCAGGGAGACTAATTGCAGGGAGTATTTAGTCGGGGAGGGGTGGGGGGAGGTATTTTGATATATTTAAAATGAAGTAACCCAATGGTTGATCTAAAATATAGGTTAAGTAATGGCGGCCAGGAATGAAAGGTCATTTGCATATCATATCCAGCCATTTGAAAATACATCCCTCATGGATGGTCAATGGAATTTCCAAGGGGGAAGGGGTTTAAAAGCCCAAAATTTCCAAAGGAAAGTGGGTGTTCATGTGAAGTAAGTTTTCCAGAGGGTCATGCAATACTCGTAATATTATAATCGACAGTGATTGAAAATGCATATTATATTGTGTTGGCAAACAAAACCTAAGATTGTTCCATAGATGCCTTAAAAAAAAAACGAAGAAAATGTATCAGTGATAATAAAAAGGTGTGTCTAAAGATGTGAAGAATGTTTTTAAGCAGAACAGTTGATAATCTCTAAATACAGCAGATTTAGGCCACTAAAAGAAAATAGGAAATTCCAGGGGGTTGGAGGGGTTATCGGTATATGTGGCCAAGCAGTTAACACCTAGAACTCCAGATCTGGAGGTCCAGGGTTCAAGCCTCTCCCATCGCATTGTTTCCTTAGACAAGGAACTTTACTCCACTTTGTTTCTCTTCACTTAGGTGTATAAATGGGTACCAGCAACATATTGCTGGGGGTAACCCTGCGATGGACTAGCATCCCGTCCAGGGGGGAGTAGCAATACTCCTAGGCATGCTTATTGCTACCGAAACCGGTATAAGCTCTGGCATGTGGGCCTTTGACTTTTGTGCACCTTTACATACCTTTTACCTGGAGGATTGTATAAGACCCCTTCAGAACGGAAATTCTGAAGGGGTGGGGTGGTCTTATCTGAAAGACCATCCATGGCGAGGGGGGGGGGGGATAGGAATATTTTTGGGAATGACAAAATAATAATAAAATAATAAAATATTAAAAACTTACTTTTCTTCTCCTTTTATGGGCTTTTTCAGGGTAAAGAAAAAAAAAAATTAAAACGAAAAAAACAAATTTTCAGAATCCAAAT